GGAATATCTAAAAAATCATGAAATAAAATGTGTTCTAATCTCCTATCCTGACAAACATAACTTGTAGTGACCTGCATCATGTTGTTATAGGGAGATCTGCTGTACCAGCCTCTGGGCCCTGGCTCTGCTACCAGGCCCCCCAGCTTCTTTTCCTACCTCCTTGCAGGAGACCTTCACTACACGTGTGCACACTGCGAGGCGCATTGGTTTCATATTCCCCTAAAGGGTCACCCTTTGGCCCCTTTCCTTGCAAGCTTAGGATTGAGTACAGTGGCTCTGCAGTCTCCTGCCAGGACGATAAGCCAGGAAGTGTCCCAGCAGGTTCTAGAAGGAGCTCAGGGCCGTTCAGACAGGGACCCCCATGCCTCCAGGCACCCAGAATATTGCGCCAAGGGGAAGAACAGCATGCTTCTGCCTTTTGGTCCCATAAACTCCCAGCACGTGCCGTGGGAAACTCAAGATCATGACCAGAAAACACTATTTCAAGCACGAGGCTCACTGTAGGGACCTCGCCTGTGAAGATCTGTTTGGAAAGTCCTGCTTTCCACAATCAGTCAGGCAGGCCTTTTGAATACTTAAAAATTGTGCAACGTTACTTTTACTGAGTTTGAACAGAATCTGGGGATGTCAAAATAATAATTCCATTACATTTTCAATGTAAAATGCATACAAATTTTATATGATGCCAGTGTCTGGTAGCTTTAGGAATATCAAAAAGCATATAAATTCCACTTTCAGTTTCATATAATCGTTATTTCTATTGATTTGGCTGTGTGCCAATCACTGTGTATATAAAATTGAACAGGACAGGTACAACCTCAACCGTTTTGGGGGAAGTAGATAATTAATGTGTAATAAGCATTCTGATGGATTGTAGGCAGGCCCCAAGAAGCAGTTGATGGGGGCGGGGGAGCTCAGAAAAATCTTCCCAAAGAAAGTGATTTTAAGTTGGAACATGTAGGATAAATAGGAAGTAGCCAGACAAATGGAACAGCCTCTGAAAAATCATGAAGTTTAGAGAAAAAAAGACACATTCCAAGAACTAAAAGAAGTCCGTGGATGTGTATAATATGAGTAAGGAGAGGATTGGAAGACGATGTCCGGGCCATACCATCACGAGATGCCGGTGTGGGTGTGAGCCTGCAGGAAATAACCCCCAGTAAGAGGTTTGAGGCCGGGGAGCCGCAAGACCAGGTTAGGTGCATTCGCTGGTTTGTTTGCTTTGAGAGCTCACGTTAGCATCGATCCGGAGAATGGATAAGCTTGGATCAAGACTGAAGGCGGGCATCCAAGTGAGAGAGTGAGTTGGACCAGCACAGTGTTGATGAGGATGAGAGAGGTGGGCAGGGATGCAAGGGTATCTGGAAGGCGTAACTGACAAGAATTGTTGATTCGGTGAATATGAGGAACGAGAGAAAGAAGGAATCCAAGATGACAGGTCAAACCAGCTGTCTGCTGGTGCCATTCTAGGAGAAAAGAGGAATGAACAGTCTTGGTAGTTGTGTGTGAGGAGCGGTCTTGTCCCGCGCGTTTGCAGGACGCAGTACAGAAGGACAAATGAGTCCTCCTTACATGTGCCTGAATAGATATATGGACGTTACCAAGCAAGCAACAAATGGTTAAATAAAAGGTGTTCTGCCTCCTCACCTTTGTAACAACCTGGAAGGCCAGTTTCGGCTTTAGTATTCTTGGGCGCCCTGCGGTCTTGCCCCGGGAGACTGGGACTGAGGGACAGCTTGTCCCCCCCTCCTTTCCCTTCTCACCCCCGACCTGTGTCATTTATGTGAAGCCCACAGCCTGCATGTCCATACCCACCGGAAACGGATACCCCTTGCACACCCACCACTCTGGTGCAGGGCTCAGCATCCCTGTAGGCGAGACCTGCAGTCAGGAGAACCCCGGGAAGAAATCTATGCAGGCCCAGAGGGAATTGTGAGTTCCTGAGATGGGAAGTGTGGTCCAGAAGTGGGGACCAAGCCCCTAGTCCTGCCAGTTCCTCCCCCGACGAAGAGGGGGCCAGCTAGAGGGTAGCCGGGAAGGCGTCTTGCGTAGTACAGGGCCCCGTGCTTTCTTTCATCTGGCCTGGGTCTTGAGGAGGCGAGATGAAAGCCCGATGCAGACAGGAAGTAGTGAGTTCCCTTCGGAACAGATCCACTTAAAAGTGCTGGTGGGAGATCTCAGTAATGGCGTTCAGCAGCCTGTTGAAAACCAGGTACAGGGTTTCAGAAAACCAGTGCATTCATCTGCTGGGGCTGCCGTAACAGAACACCACAGGCTGACTTGAGCAGCAGAGAGTTATTTTCTCATGGTTCTGGAGGCTGGACATGCAGACTCAAGATGCCTGTGGGTTTTGTTCTTCTGAGGCCTCTCTGTCTTGCAGTTGGCCACCTTCTAGCTGAGTCCTCACGCAATCGCCCCTGTGTGCACAGGAGCCCCTGATGTAGCTGTGTGTGTCCAAATTTCCTTTTATAAGGACTTCAGTAAGATTAGACTAGGGCCCACCCTAACAGCTTCATTTTAAATTTAATTTAGTTACCTCTTTAAAGGCCCTATCTTCAAATACAAATTAGTGCTTCAACATAAGAATTTGAAGGGGGATGCAATTCAGATCATAAGAGCCATTCTGGCCAAAACATAGACTCCAGTGGTATCAATTGCTATGGGCAGAATTGTGTCTTCCCAAAATTTACAGGCTGCAGTCCTTACCCCTAAGGTGATGGTATTTGGAGTGGAGCTTTTGGGAGGTAATTAGGCTTCGATGAGATCATCATGATGGATCCCTCAAAATGGGACTAGGGCCCTTTGAGGAAGACATGGCAGAAACCTTGCTCCCTTGCTCTCTCTGCCAAAGGCAGCCATCTGCAAGCCATGGGGGTGTCTCACCACACACTGACCATGCTGGCCCATTGACCTCGACTTCCAACCCCCAGAGCTGTAAGAAAACAAACTGCCATTGTGAAAGCCACCCAGTCTTCTGCATTTTGTTATGGCAGCCTGAGAAAAGCAAAACATCCGTAAACAGATGGTAGTTGATACCATGCCAACAATGAGGTCACCTCATTGGAAAGACTGTCCAGGGAAAGACCCTGAGGAATGTCTCCCCTTTAAGCACAGGCAGAGGCAGAGGAACCTGTAAAGGAAACTAGAAAATAAAATAAAGTTGAAGAGGGAGGAAATCATTTTGGTCTAGGAGGGTGGTTTACATAATTATGAATTCAAAGGCATAAATCTAGATAAATGAACAAAGGAGGGGCACCTGGGTGGCTCAGTCGGTTAAGCGGCTGCCTTCAGCTTAGGTCATGATCCTGGGGTCCTGGGATCGAGCCCCACGTCCAGCTCCCTGCTCAGCAGAGAGCCTGCTTCTCCCTCTCCATCTGCCTGCCACTCTACCTACTTGTGCTCTCTCTCTAGCTCTCTGTCAGATGAATAAATAAAATCTTAGAAAAAAAATTGAAAAAAAGGAACCTGTGATGGTTAATTTTATGTGCCAATTGGACTGGGCCATGAGGTGCCCAGACATTTGATCAGACACTTCTCTGGGTTTGTCTGTGTGGATGTTTGTGGATGAGAGTAACGTTTGAAGTGAATAAAGCAGATTGCTCTCCCCAGTGTGGGGGAGCCTTTCCCAGTCAACGGAGGGACTGAGTGGGGTACAAAGGGCTGAGCCTCCTGTGATGAGGGGAGAATTCCTTCCCGCCTATTTTGAGCTGGGACATAGGATTTTGGGTTTTGTTGTTGGGTTTTGTTGTTTTGGTTTTGGACTTCAATTGAAACATCAGCATTTCCTGGGTCTTGACCTTGCCAACTTTTGGACTGGAACAGCATTGTCGGCTCTCCCTGGTCTCTAGTCCACTGCCTGCAGATCCTGGGACTTGTCGCCTTCCACAATTATGTAATTTCTTATAACATTTTACAGTAATAAATCCTTCTCTCTTTCTCTCTGTTTCTCTGGAGCACAGTGACTGACGAAGACATAGGTCAATGTTACCCAGACATTCCTAAACAGCAGGTAATTTCAGTAGCTGTTTTCCAAATGGATCCATTTTGTAGAAATCAGAAAGATCATCCTAAATCTGAAGACATTTTATTATCAGAGGATCAAAGAAAGAAAAAAAAATATCCAGGGAAAAATACAAAATAAATATGCAAATAGATGCCATGTTTTAGACCATGTTTTAGATCATCATCAGTGAGGAGACCACACTTGTGTTCAAAAAAAACCCAAAACTGTAAATTGAACTTTCCAATAAAGAATAGTTCTGACACAATGAGTTTACTGTAAGATATGAAAAAAATGAGAGAAAGAGAATTCTTAAAATTTGTCTTTAAACAAATAGAATGGAAGTGACAGAATATGCATCATTCCGTATATTAATTATTGAGCCAGGCAGTGTGCTGTTTGGTGTGGCTACAAAGATGCATCAGTAGCAAAGGGAGAAGAAACATATACATACATATTAGAGTCACACATATTACTATTTTAAACAATCCTCAAGCCCGTATTTTTTCACTCCCATTGTATCTCTCTACCAATACCTATAACCTTATACATATATTTTTAGTAATTAATGGGCTTGCAGAAAGAGTAAAATGTCAATCAGTATTTAGTATTTGCAAACCTTTAACAACAAATTACATTTAATGAAAAGAAAAATGTTAGCTTTTTTTGTTATTGTGACTAGTTTTCCTATTCCATTTTTATATGGTCACCTTAAAAAATATACTTCAATAATTTCCCCATAGAGTTACATACCACAGTGATGATTGGCAATTGTCTTCCTAATCATTATTTTGAGGGTTGCAGTTTTTATATCCAAGCCTGTTCTGTGTTAATAATTGTACCCTTAATGTGGGGGGGGGGGAAGAGCTGTAAGAAGTGACAACTTAAGAATCTTGTGGTCTCATCAAAAGACAATTATATTCAGTTTTATTTATTTCACACAAAATTTTTGTCATAGTGTTTGCTATTAAAACTATATAAATCCCGAGAGTGGCCCAAGATGGCCGACTTCGAGGACCAGGTGTCGGCTGAGGAGAAGGTACGCATAGCTGCTAAATTCATCACTCATGCACCCCCAGGGGAATTTAATGAAGTGTTCAGTGATGTCTGGCTACTGCTTAATAATCACAGTCTCCTCAGGGAAGGGGCAGCACATGCATTTGCCCAGTATAACATGGATCAGTTCACGCCTGTGAAGATGGAAGGATATGAAGATCTGGTCTTAATTACGGAACACGGTGACCTGGGGAATAGCAGAGTTTTAGATCCAAGAAACAAAATTTCCTTTAAGTTTGATCACTTACGGAAAGAAGCAAGTGACCCCCAGCCAGAGGACATAGATGGAGGTCTGAAGTCTTGGAGAGAATCCTGTGACAGTGCTCTAAGGGCCTATGTGAAAGATCATTATTCCAATGGCTTCTGTACTGTTTATGCTAAAACTATAGATGGGCAACAGACCATTATTGCATGTATTGAAAGCCGCCAGTTTCAGCCTAAAAACTTCTGGAGTGGTCATTGGAGATCGGAGTGGAAGTTCACCCTCACACCACCTACAGCCCAGGTGGTTGGAGTACTTAAGATTCAGGTTCACTATTATGAAGATGGCAGTGTTCAGTTGGTTAGTCATAAAGATGTACAGGATTCAGTAAGTGTTTCAAATGAAGTCCAAACTGCCAAGGAGTTTATTAAAATCATAGAACATGCAGAAAATGAATATCAGACAGCAATTAGTGAAAACGATCAAACAATGTCAGACACCACATTCAAGGCCTTGCCCTGGCAGCTTCCGGTTACCCGCACCAAAATCGACTGGAACAAGATACTCAGCTACAAGATTGGCAAGGAAATGCAGAATCCTTAAAGGCTGAATGTAGGATTCTTCAGTATGTGGAAAGAAAGGATTCAACATGCGGTCATATGATAAATAAGTGATTTATAAACAAGAGTGATATTTTGCTAGGGCTTTCCAAGCTAACAGGTTTTCTAGCCTCATGGAATACTGTTGAATCTATAGCATCGTCTTGATTCTTTTGTGTTCTCTGCCTTGTAATTTCTGTTTTCACTATATCTACTTGTAAATTTTTTTTTTTTAATTCTGCCACATTTAATGATGGAGAGAGAGAGATCTATCCTGGAGTCATTTTACTGTTTAGAAAATTTTCCTAGCCATGAAGCCTTGTTACTGATATAGACAGGTATTACGCTCAGTGCTTTTCTACCCCTGTCCTTCAAGGCACTTCTGGTGCTTCAGTGGTTTTTACTGATCCACCAACAGCTAAAGAGGCTGTGCTACAAACAGGCTGAGTGGAAGACACATCCTTCTCCCTCCAACTGCTTTGATCATCATTTATAGCATCTCATAACTGTAGTTTTCAAAAGTTTGGATTGGGCTTTTCAGGTCCTTTTGTGGGGGCAAAGGAAGTTTTTTGGAAATTCCATCATAGCCAGCTTCTCTGGGGAAGTTGTTTTTAAATCCAAAGACTTGAACCACATTCCCTGCACATGAACGTGTTTGCTTTTTTTCTCTTCCCTCATTGTCTCCTTCCCACCTAGTACCACTACAGTTAGAGACATCTGCAGTTTTAGAAGGGTTTTACCCATTTATTATTATTTTTTTATTATTCAAGAACTGCTGACATACTAGGGATGTAGTAGAGTATAAAACTTGAAAAATGCAGATGTTGAAGGAATAATAGGTATCTTGTGCTTCAATACTTTGTGGCAGGATTGTACTATAAGCAGATGGATCAAACAACTATGTAAATCACAAACAAAAACTAAAAATGAACCAAAGTGAAAAGGATACGTTCCAGGCAGTATCTTTCTATTGTAACCTGTTACTTAAGGGAATACTAGTGATTTGTTCTAAATAGGATGTAAAACTTGTTCCAAATTACTCTTCCTCAGTCCTGCCTGCCAAGAAAATGTAACTGTGATGTAGCAACCCTTCCCAGGTATATTGGCAGGTATATGTGTGATCTCAGAATACACAGGTGACATAGATATGATATGACAACTGGTCATGGTGGATTCATTTACATTGTTTACACTTCTGTGACCAGGCCTTCAGGGAAGGTCAGTTTTTAAAAAACCAAGTAGTGTCTTCCTATCACCAAATAAATGTCAAAAAAGAAGGGTGTTTGTGCTTCAGCTTTGTTTTTGCTCAGTAATACAGTCAAGCAAGTTTGTTTCCAAGTGACCTGTTGAGCTGTGTAAGCATTTTTGTTTATTTCAAATAAAATATATTTGTATTAAAAAAAACTGTATGCATCCCTCTATTCTCTTCACATTGAAATTGTATACAACTAAGAAACTGCTTTTTCTCTTGATCACTAGACTATCACTTCAGCCCTTTAGTTGGACAGCTTGGAGAACTTGACTGATACACATTAGCTCTCAGTATTGATTAATCCTTTCTACCTCCCCCTGTCTTCAGAGCCAAAAATAATAATCTGCCCAAATTCTAAGTCCCAGAACAGAACACGTGATTGACCCAGCTTGCGCAAACTATACAATCCTGATTAAATCAACTGGAGCTAAGGATATGGGTTTACATAGTTATATAAATAAATGGTGTGGGGGGAGGGGTTGGGGGAGGGACAGACCTAGAGAGACAGAGAGACTTCCCTGTTGAGGCAGTACTTTTAGAAAAAGAAGTAATTATGACAGGGGAGTATACAATCAGTGAGACCAGAACAATTAAACACCTGGAATCCTGTTCTCTAATACCCTGTCCTTAAGAACTGGGGTTCTTTTCCTATGTAGTCAGATGGGACCAGTGTGCAATAAATTTTGACACTTCTGCATTTTAAGTTAATGAATATTTAATTGGTGTTTACTGAGCATCTGTTTTGTACCTAGGACTGTGGAATTGAAATATTTAATAGGAAGGGTTGACATTTTGCAAATATCTTAAATTTTATTTTAACCAAATTTAATGTCTCATAAAAGACATAAAACTACAAAAAGCCCTAATTTTATTGACCCCTCCCCCCAAAAAACTAGTAAAATGTTTCAACAAAGCATTATAAGTAGTAAGAAGAACAGCTTAATCATAGTCAATTTTTAAGCAGGAATTAACCTCTTCCTTCAGAAAACACTTCTGTCAGCCTCCCCTTTTAGAGGAGGCACTAGGCGCAGAGTTTATACAGAACAACTCCAACTAGAGAATAATGAAGAAGACATTTGAACTCAGTCAAGTTTTCCTCAGAGCTTGCTCTGTAAAATGCACTTCATAAAACTATTAAATTTAAAATGAATCACCATATTGTTAAGACAATTAGTCAAACTTAAAATGAAAACAATTCAAAATATTTCTCACTATAAAGGCAAAATAAATCTCAATTAGACTGGAAAGTTAACTTTTATGAAAATACATAGGCAAATCAAGCCCTAAATGTATATATTATGGAGTTATATAAATATGTAGGATTGGTGACCAGACTTGTGAAAAGGGGAAAGGTTTCTACATTTAGAAGCAAAGGAAACTAGAGAGAATGAGAGGAACATATCTCACCATCATAAGCAACAAAAATCTTCTACAGTAGATGACAAAAATGATGTTTGAATGAACAAAAACAAATTAGGAATATTTTTACAATACATGCAAAAATCAAAAGTTATCATTAACACATAAAGAATTTTCATAGGTTCAATCCATTGGTCCAAATGATTAGTACTTTTATCTATTGCAGAGAGAACTAAGAGAGCACCCAAGTTTTAAGAGAAATGTTCAAACTCCAGTGTATAGGTGGACAATAGGAATAAATTCAGATTTTATGAGAGGATAAATACAACAGACTGAAAACTGTAGAAAAGTATGCATTCCCTCTGGTAATACCAGCATTATGAAATTTAAATGTTAATGCATTGTTTTCACCATTTATATTAGGAAATATTTTTAAGACACCCAGTACTGCTAAAAGGGTAATTAAGAAGATACTCTCATGTATTGCGCATCGAAATATAAATTTAATATCAGATATCATCAGGAGCCATATAATATTATGTCAAAAACTGTCATATAGAAATTTCCACTTGTGGGAACAGCGCCTAAGAAGGCATTAGGAATAGAAACAGTACATACATCATGAAAAGCTGAAAATAATGTAGATATCCAATCTGGATGTATGCAATTAGAATGTTAAGAAATCTAGAGTGTACCAATTCAGAGGAATATTAGATATTAATTTTTTATATACAATAATATAGATGATATGCTGATATAATATTAAATGCAGAGTGCAGGACATAGTATTGTACATTTAGTATAAAAATACTTATGTTCTTATTTATGTCAATAATTATAATCAAGATATAAATGTAAATGTGGGTGTAGTGTGTGTGCGTGTGTGCGTACAGGGAGAGAGGTGAACCTAAAATGAACTTGACCAAAAGACCAACTAATTTGTGTGAATGACTGTTTTTGAGTTTCCAGGCCACCTTTATTAATTATGGATTACTTTTAGGGTGAGAGAAAAAAATTAATAGAACAACAGAAATAACATATGAATAAAGTAATATAATGAATTATCAAAAATCTTTCTAATGAAAAAAATGATATGCTGCTATTTTCTCTCCTACTTTGTTACTTGTTTGTGAAATACCTCCTGCAGACCACGGGTTTTGGGAAAGTGCCTGCATACAGCTACAACTCTTTTTCATCATTTAGAAATGTGCTCGTCAGACGATTCAGAGAGAGACCCAATGTTTAGTTTGCTTTTGTGAACTGCTGCCTTAAACTGAGACACACTCTTCAGGTTACAATTCAGAGATAAAAAACCTGAGGATGCTCTCCTGAGCTGAAAATTAAGTCCTGGGAGACTCTTCGGAAATAAAGTCCTCCAACTGCTCATGGACTGCCACTCTTGCCTTGCATTCTTGGCCCCCCCCGGGCCGTTTCAGAGTTATCCTCATGGGGAGAGAAATGATCGTCAGACTGGCCCCATTACAAGAGATCTGAAGCAATGTAACGGGCTGTTGAAAACAGTTACCTTCTCTAGAGTCAAGTGGGTATAGCCAATGCATTCCAGGGGACCCATAGGATAATGGAATTTTTTCTCATATACTTTTCAAGTGGACAACTATATTCTAATACATTGTACCTCTATACTGTGCTATACCAGAGGAATAATTCTGATAATAAGGTCTACATGGTTTTTTTTCCCGCCTGCCTTAGAATTTATAAAGTCAAAATGCTGCTCTACCAGAAGCTTCACAGTCTGTGTATTTTCTACTTTTAAGTGATTTTACTAATTCATTTTTGCCCAAGAAGCTAAGGTACATTTATTTTACAAGGCACAATTTAGTAGACTATTAGTATGTATTCTGTATTCTAAGGGCAAGTAGAATTAAATTTAAACTAGCATGTTTCTAGGAACAGGAACAAGTTAAAAAATAAAATTTTAGCATGAAAGGTGAAGCAAAGGTCATCCTTTCCTTTTTAGGGTATTTTAGAAAATTCTTATTTCATAAAGTCTTAAAATATTTTTTTCTTTTAAAAACTTTGGTGAACCTTTTCTTTTCTCCTGCCCATTTCTAATCAATCATATCTCCTCATTCCCATTAATTTTATTAATTTTTTTAACTGATCAGTAGTCTCATCTATTACCCTTATAACCCATTAATTTCAGAGTCTGAGGCCACAGCCAGGAACAACTTACCCTATTCTGATCTAACTCCTGAAAGTCTGTTCTGCCACACAAATTCTCTGAAAGCTAAAAGAATAATGTTTTTTTTCCTCATTTTTATGTGTTCTTTTGTATTTTTTAGGTATAATTCTATTTAATAGTTTAAGGTTCAAAAAAAAAACATATATCACCAGAGTTGTTTTGTACCATATAAGGTACAATAAATAGATCTTTTAGTGATGCTAAAATTTACTGTATCCCCTTAATTCCATTAGCAGCCATTGTAAATGGCAGTGCATCAAGTGCTAAAATATATATTCAGTATATATTCAAAAATACATCAACAGGGGTGCCCGGGTTGGTTTAGTGTCTGACTCTTGGTTTTGGCTCAGGTGGTGATCTTGGGGTCGTGAGATGGAGCCTCGCATAGCTCCACACTCAGTGCGGAGTCTGCTTGAGATTCTCTCTGTCTATCCCTCCCACTCATTCTCTCTCTCTCTCTCAAAAAAATAAATAAATCTTAAAAAAATACATAAACAAGGTTTCTGTTGTCATGTTG